TTGTACTGCAATAACTCTTCTTTGTTTTCTCAAAAATCATGGCTGGTTTCCACCATGATCACCAGTAGATAGAGCCAGGAGGATCTGGGAGCGCATGGGAGGGCCTAGATTGGTCCTACTAGATCTGTAACGATTTTGCTATCTTCAACTTCAGTTGATGTTGAACTTCAGAGTTTGCAAGGACTCCACAGAAGAGCACTGGGATGGAACAGGTAGAGCCTGTGGTCTCGAGGTCTCAGAGTCACCAGAGATTGGCACAAAAATAACTGATTGCCTTTAGCCCCATGTGGACACCTGATAATGCTCCAGATAGCAACTCAATGGAGAGTGTGAGGACTGTTTCCTAAATCCCTGTAAAACTCATCTTTTCAAGAGAGGAATCCACAAATTCATCTGTTACAGTTAAATCCATTGGAGCTTCTGAATATTTTTTTTGTAAGACATGATGTTAAAACACGGCACCCACGGCTCATGCCTGTAATTCTAGTTACTCAGGATGCTGAGAGCTGAGGATCACAGTTGGAAGCCAGCCCAGGCAGGAAAATCTCTGAGACACTTACATCTAAATAACTACTAAATACTAAAAAAGCTCTGGAAGTAGAGCTGTGGCTGAAGTGATAGAGTGTAAGCTTTGGCCAAATGAAGGTCAGGGACAGTGCCCTGGCCCTGAGTTCAAGCCCCAGGACTGGTGTACATGCATGCATGTGTGCATGCGCAGGCACACAGACACACAGACACAGACACAGGCACAGACACACAGACACACACACACACACACACACACACACACACACATGTGCACGCACGTGCAAAAATAATGTGAAATCTCTGTGACCTCCTCCCCCCCACTGGATCATTCTCCCAATATAAGTCAGCTACTGGATATAGATGATGATTAAAGAGACCTCTCTCTCCTAGAGATTTAAGTTGCTACCTTTATTCTACCATACATTAAATTCCCATGCCTGTGATTAGAATTGCTTTTATGTTCCACTAGTCTCTTGTCTCATTTTTACCTGTTTCAGGACTATTGTTTTCTAATTGCAGGGAATTTACAATGGCTTCTAATAATAAACTCAGTGTTGTTAACTTCCTCTTCTTTCTTGTGCAGTGTACGCCAACCCTTATGGCTACTCTTTCCCTCTGCAGTTCTCTTGATTAGTGCATATTTCAGGTCATTTATTTATTTGTTTTGCATGTTTTTTGTTGTTGTAAAGGTGTGGGGCAGAGAGATTACACGTATATAAGTCAGTTCGAACGTACATTTCTTTCAGAATGTCACCCTTCCCTTGCTCTCTCCGAGCTTTTCCCTCCTTCCCACCCCCACGTTGTATAGCTCACGTTCAACACGGTGTCTGGTAAGCATCACTGCTGCATTTCTTCACCCTTTGTCCTACCATTTCTGTGCCCCTCCCCTTTATCCCCCCAAAGATAGATAAAGGAACAAAGAAGGCAAAAGGAAAAGAAAGCAAGAACAGCACCAACGCTGTGCCTATGACTCTCCAAGTAAACACACTGGAATGTAAAATAAAATACACTAGGACATGATAAGCGAATGCATGTTGCATTTTCTTATAAACTTTGAAAGCAACGTGTCTGGCTTTAGAGGGACAAAACTTTGTAGTATTGGAGATCAAACCTGGGTCCCTGCCCTAGTATCCCCTCCCCCTTCGACCCTTCTCATGTGTCTGTTCCTTCATTAATTTGCTTCATTCAGCCATTCCACTGGTATTTTTTTATCACCTATGATGAACGTTGTGTTTTCAACCATTGACACATCTTTCCTGAGCTGGAAGCAGAGCAGGGAGAACTAAGAGCTTCCCCTATACAGTGTTCCTCCCTGCTCCTTGGCAAGGTTGACAGATGCTGGCAACGCAGTGACCAAGGCTACTTGGTTGTGTTTGGGCACCATGCGAAGCCCCATTAGTATCTGTCAGCCTCCTCCAGCCCAGGCAGGGCAGGCAGCTGTGTGATCTGACCTCCTCTTGACATTCTGATAGCTTTCCTTTCACATCACAAACTGGTGAGATCTACTGCTTCCCCTCCTGGCTGGAAAGGTTACCTCCCAAGCACACCACCTGGGATGAATTATGTCTCTATTGATTTGAGCTTTGTTGTCTCAACCACAACTTTCAGGGCGGTGTTTGAGGGCTGCACCCTGTTTTGGAGAGAAAAGAATGTGAAAAACGTTATCTGTAATGCTAGCTGAAGCCTTGGTCATTGTCCTGCATTGGTCTTGCTCAGACTTACTTCTGAGATTGTAGCAGTGCTGTTCAACGTGTTCCCGATGGGACATGGCCTTCAGACCAGCCCAGAGATTCATTTCTGCACTGAGACTCATTCTGTCCAAGCAAAGGAATATTTTCTTACCAAAAATTCCATCTGTTCCACAAAAATGAATGATCTTTCTCCTTAAGTACAACTCTTGATTCCATTTCCTTTGAACCAAAATCTTATCTGGGTTCCTTTGGTCCCAAACCCTGATCTTAGTATCTTGGGTTGCATTTTTCAAGCTCTAGAAATCAAATGAATGTTAATAAGATCTGTGTCCAGACCACATGTTCCTCCTCCTCCTCCTCTTCCTCCTCTTCCTCGTCCTCCTCCTCCTCCTCTTCCTCCTCCTCCTCCTCCTCTTCCTCGTCCTCCTCCTCCTCCTCCTCTTCCTCGTCCTCCTCCTCCTCCTCCTCTTCCTCCTCCTCCTCCTTCTCCTCCTCTTCTTCTTCCTCTTCCTTCTCCTCATCTTCTTTTTGAGACAGAGTCTCACTAGGTAGCCCGAGGTGGCCTCAAACTCTTGATCATTCTCCTCAAACTTCCAAGTGCTGATAGGTGTGGGTTACCATTACTTGGACAGATTTGCTTTCCTTCTGATAGCAATTAGGGGAGGAAATATTCTTATTTTACCATCTTACTATGGCATTATGACACATACACACACACACACACACCATTATTAGAGTTACTCAAATCTCTGCTTCCATTCCTGACTCTACTCTAGGTTAGTCACTGACATCGTATGTTGAGTAGCCTATTCCTAAAAGATGGAAGAACTTTCAGGCTACAGAAATTCTAAGGACAGGCTGAGGGCAAGGGTTTACCATCTTTAGGCAGAGGGAAGGATTCTTATCTCTTAGCAAAGGGAGGTGATGGAGTGCTTGACCAGAAGAGCTGCCAAATCCACAGATCACTTTAGAATAAATTATGTGCTAAAATCCTAAAGAATCCAGTGCCCAGTTTCCTTCTTTATGAATGGAAATGAGTGCAGAGAGCCTGCTAGAATCAATGTTATCTTTTACCTGAGCTCTGTTTAAGAGAAATAACCAGCTTTGTATGCATGAACTGCTTTGTTGAATAGTAACTCCTTTCTACAACCACTTGAAGAAAATACAAATTTTTTTTAGAGAGCTAACCAGATCGTTAGATCCCCAAAGACACCTAACTCAGCTAAGCAAAAGCAAGTCAACAAGTGTCAATAAGGAACACTATTGATTTGACCTGTGCATCCACCTCTTTGAATTGTGTGAGAAGAGCTCTATTTCTTGAAACTGTCACCTCTTACAGCACCTGACCACAGCCCTGTTTCCCTTCCATGTTCTTGACCCTCATTGTCTCTTTGTCATGTGATGGGAGGGAAAAAGAGGAAGTGGTTGTTAGGTGGAGCCCATAGCAGTAGTTTGAGCATTCAGTGGCTCTCGAAATCTCCCAGAGATCACAGGGGTCTAATCTGAGCCTCATCTGGACATGAGGCCTCGTCTCCATGTCACTTATCAGCTGCCTAAAATACTGTGATACCCACTAAAATATAAGATTGCTTTATAGCCCGGGTCTATGACAAGGCATAGCTGGTCCGTGTTCTTCTCCAAGTCTTCATTTTCACACTAAAGCATGGATGTGATCAGTGACTGCTTCCTAGGGTTCATGTGGCACCTAAGGAGAAAGGCTGTATGAGAAGTGTTGTTGTTTATCATTCTAGCCAAGGTTGCAGTTTTTTTGGTGAAAAGATTAGGAAAAGTGAATTGCGTGGGTGTACAAAAGTAAGCCCATCTCCTTCTACTGGTTCTTGACTTGTAGAGTCTGCTTGCCTTCACCGATGGCACTGTGGGCAGGGTAGAAGAGGGTACTGTCATCTTCATTTTTACAGAGACACCCAAGGAAGATCAGAAGGGTTAAGTGTGCACTGGCTCATTTTCCTGTGTCCCGCTGAGATCGGCAGAGCTGAGATTCAAACCTGGCTTGTGCGATGCTGAATCTGATCTTGTTTTGTCCCTTGAGTCTCAGAGGACACCCAAGTCCCATCACAGTGTTTCTCCTTGCCTCATTCTGAAGAGGGGACTGGAGAATTCTTTGGGACCTGGCCTCCTGGCTCTCTGCTCATTTGGAAATTCTTTCTAAATAGCATTGAACTTAATGTTGGGCTTATTGTATCCATAGGCTATGAAAAATGTTTTTATTTGCATTTCATCTGAAAAATTCGTGGTTTTAGAGGATGGCATTAAATGAAAAAGATAATCACAGATCAGTAGCTGGAAGAGCCATGAGTGTATATTATGGCCAAATGGTCGATCTTGGACCTGTTATTCTATTTTCCTAAGCTTTTGTTTTCTCATCTGCAAAATGGGGCTAATAGTAGCATCTACTATTGAGTCCATTGTTGAGATGAACAGAAGTGGTCTGCAGTAAGTACTGAAATGGTCTGTTATCTCCATGCTGATACTGACGAGGGTGTTTTTAGCTCACTAGAAATGCAAAGCAACTGAGATCCTTGTGTCTTTCCTAAGACTTCTCATACAGATTCCATTGTGAATGTGTTATCTGAAGGCCACACAACTATTAGATGTGTTGAAGTAAGGATTTATCTATAGGTTAGCCTTACACTAATTTTTTTGTCTTCTTTATTTTCAATCGACACAAAAGAATATCTAGTCTACTAAAACAAGGAAAAGTCATCCCTGTATTTATTTCTGTGCAGGATGTACACTGACCTTGTATTTACCTTTGTTTAGGGTTTGATGCGTACTTTACATCCCGTACCCTGGAGAACAATAGAAGAAACGTGTGGTTTGCAGAATACTGGGAAGAAAACTTCAACTGTAAATTGACGATTAGTGGATCCAAAAAAGAAGACACAGATCGCAAATGCACAGGTAATTTCATTCCTCATGTCCTTCTCTGGTGATGTTACATGGCCAGAATCAAAATGTCTGCATAGCTGACAGAAGGAAGAGTGGTTGGAGACAAATTGAGGAAGTAAATTGAATTTTACTAGATTTTCAGAAAATGGAACATAAGACTTGCAGGGAAGTGCAGACAAGATTGTATTCTGTTCTGCCTGTCCGTCTATCAGTAATTGACGTTTTCTTTGACTCTTTGAATTCGGGAAGGGTCAGGTGCCTTTGAATGGTCTCCTTGATAAATATTAGTTCATGTGATAGTGGGAAGTCATTCTCAGATAGACAAAAGTCTCTGAGAAATTCCATAGCAGGATTAGATGTAGCTGTCTCCACACCAAAGTGCTTGAGTTTATAATGATGAGAATTCCAAATGATTTCCACAGTGCGGAAGTTGACTTACCCGTTATTTAAAAATCAGCCTAGCATCACTTCCTGCTCCTCATGTAAAGTCTCGTATGATTTTTTTTTTCTCCTGAATAAAAAATGTGGGTATACAAGTAGCCAGCAGGAAACATCACACAGAAATTCATTTATTCATTCATAAATATTTATTAAACTGCCTCCTTTCTGCTGAGCACCGCACTAGACTTGGTGGCATCATGGGAAGCAATGCCGGGTAAGGAAGGCTTCCACGTTGAGTCAAGTCTGCGGGGCAGGAGTTTGACATGATTTCAATGATCTCTGAGATAAATGCATAATTATAAACTGAAATGCATGTTCAGAATGTATGAAGTTGTATCACTTAAAAAATCGACTCTTATTGAGGGTATAAACTTCCTCCAGTGATTTACTTGGTACTGGGAAGGAAGTTCAGAGGCCAAGCACTTTCCTAGCATGTGAGGATCAGGCTTTATTTTTTATTTTTTTTAAAGCCGCATTTGATGGAATGACGCTTAGGTTAAAATAGAAAGCTTCTGTGACAAGTAGAAAAGTGAACTTGGAAGTTTTTGTTGTTTCACTTTGTTTTTCGTGCTGGTACTCGGGCCCTGAACCCTAGATCGGCTTCGGTTACTCACAGCTGATGCTCTACTACTTGAATCAGGCTTCTAGACAAGCTTTTTACTAATTAATTGGAGACAGAGGTGTGTGTGTGTGTAAGTGTGTGTGTGTGTGTGTGTGCGTGTGTGTGTGTGTGCCAGGACTGGGGCTTGAACTCAAGGCCTGTGTGCTATCCCTTATCTTTTTCTGCTCAAAGCAAACACTGTACCATTTTGGCTACAGTTCTACTTCTAGCTTGGTGGTGGTGGTTGATTGGACTTTGCTGCCTGGGCTGGCTTCACACTGCAGTACTCAGCCCACTGAGTAGCAAGCATTATAGATGTGAGCCACCAGCCTCCAGCAGAGATGAAGTCTTAAGGACTTTTCTACCCAAGTTGGTTTTGAACTGAGATCCTAGAATTTTAGCTAGGTTCTCAGTGCCCATCTTAGGTTTGGGGAGTTTTCAATACAATCACATAGCCAAGAAAATAGCAAGAATAATTGTCGAGGCTCTGCAGATATGATAAGCAAAAATATGTGGTTGAAGTATACAGAGTAAGGGGAGAATGTGAGCTGAGTCTACCATAGAACAATATACAGAGTCAGATGTGTTGAGATGCACCTGGTGTTTGGCCTTGGTTTTGAGTACTGAATGTCCGTGGAAAAATGATTATAATGATGATATGATATACTGTATCATCTCATTACATCTTAAATAGCATCTTACTCCAGTAATTGTCAACTATTTATACTGGTGACCTTAAGGCATAAAACTTTTTAAGGTATAAAATCTTTATAAAATCTGCAATATTATGAAAGGAACACTTGTTGCTGGGTGCTAGCAGATCATACCTATTATAATCCTACTAGAGGAGGCTGAAGTCTAGAGGATTGTGGCTTAAGGCCAGCCTGAGCAGTAAAGTCTTTGAGACTTCATTTCCACAAGAACCAGCAAAAAGCTGGGCTGGTGGCATGGCACAAGTGGTAGAGCACAAGCCATGCAAGCTTGATACCTTGAGTTCAAAAAGCAATGGAAATGGACACGTGTTGGACAGAGTTCCAGAGTTGGTTTATGCTGGCAATCAGTCAGGTGGGATGTGTACAATGTGTGCCACTTTGTGCTGCAAAGAAGACAAGTCTGCTTCAGTGGGGTCTTCTTTTCTTTTTCTGTTAAGTAGCAGAGTAAAGAACAGATTCGTGACTGCCACCAGTAATGCAGAATCAATAGGAGATGTATGCAGCTGGCCTAAGAGCTAACCAGAAAACCACATTCTCAAAACCATGTCCGAGAACAGAGAGGTCTTTTCAGAAATACATTTCTTCCCACGATCGTGAGAAAAGGAATAAAACTAATTCAGTATTGACGAGACCTAGGTGACACCAAGCTCTCGAGTGGAAACTTGAAAAATTAGTTTGACATGTAGCTAATTTGTCTGTGAGACAGGGGACACTCAAGTGTAGAGAAGATTCCTGCTGAGTTATGACAGTTCTCAGATTCTCTTGGACACGGATGGGGTCTGCAGAGTCCGGATGTGGGTGGAGCGGATTTCCTGCTGGGCACTCAGGGTACTTCTGCCTAGGGCTAAGGCTATGTTGTGTGCATAGTATTCCATCTACAGCCATATTCCAGTGCTATGATCATGGAGAATCTGAGTTTATGAAGACCGGTCTGATCATCCTCCTCACCACCCATCTACAGAAATGGAGGTGGACGTATTTCTTCTCCTTCCTTTGATCTCTGATGACATTTGCTACATCACCCGTAACCCTCGATAATCTAGCTTCCCTCTTGTCCTCCCGTCTGTCCTCCCCTTCCCACTCCACTAGGGTAAGACAGGAGACACACTCCACTGCGTGGCTCCACCGGTGAGAGAGAACAGGCTGGCCAGGTGTTTGTCTGTCTTCCTTTTCCTTTTCTCTCTTCCACATCCAACTCAACGACCAAACGATTGCACGGAAAGATCTTGTTCTTGGCATCTCTGTCTGCAAGTGAAACATTGGGAGGGAGAACTCACGCTGAGAGGGGTAAGGTGGGAAAGAGAAATGATGGACGGAAGTGACCTCCCATTGTGGAGATGAGTCCCTACAAGGAGAGCGAGGAAGCACATCTTCGTCTGGGAGATGAATGGACGGGGCAAAGGAGCACTGATGGATTTGGGGGGTATGGGAGGAAGGCAAAGCTGCTGTGGTGACCTTATTTTTTAAACATTAACTGAATGGGTACAGGAGGAAAAAAGCAACCAGCTGGAGGGGCTGGATGACTAGTTTAGCACTGTGGATTGATTTTAGAGACCCTGGACATTTGGAGCTGAGAGCTACAGAAAATAATCTTCCTATATATCTGTATCTGGGTTTCACTGCTCAAGAATAAGCGGATCTTGGGATAATTCACTCCTGGGATATAAACATAAATTATAATGCAAAATCGCATTGATTTTTTTTTAATTCTAGAATTTCTTTAGCCAAAGGAACTAGTTGCTGTTATGCGCTAGCTCCAAGAAGGCCAACAGAAAAGTAATCATTTGACACATTTTGAATGCAAGGGATGAGCTTCATACCATGGGGAAGAGCAAGGTCCTGGGGTCACGGTGAAATGGGAAGTTCTATATTCTCATGAAAGGAAAAGGTCATGAGAAGAATCACTGTTGGAAAACCCCAAAGATGGATCAAACCAGCTCTACATGCTTTATCATCTTGCTTGGGGCCAGAGGGGCAGGCATTCTTATATAAAAAATCACCTGAGCTGTCATGTCATCTTCATTCTTATGAGTGATCTATGCTCACAAAACCTATGCTTGAAGCAAGTGATGTGACCACCTTATTTAATATTAAAGGATATTCCCTGATAGCCCAGTCTGAGTTTCTCAACCTGGAGCCTTAGATCCCTTTCTCCCAAGTTCGCTAGCAGTGATCGTATTTCCTCTAATGGAGACAGAGCTTGGATGTAGGCTGCCACCTTGCAAGTAGATGTCCAGTAGAGCAAGCTTATTAGTCTAAGCTTAGCACAAAATACAAACTCCACCTGACAAAATACTAGTGGCATTCGGCTCCTTCACAGTAGGACAAGATTCTCTTATAGATAGTACCTACTGTGCGTCCGATGAGGTGAACTCTAGGCCTTTCACCATACAGTGTCTCCCTGAGGTAGGAATATTAGATGTAATTGGGGTTCAAGTTATACTTATATCCCAGCCCCTACTCATAGGCTACCTGTGGACCAGAAAACAGCTGTCACCAGAGGTCAGTTCTGAGTCTGATCTCACTGAGAATGAAAGCTATCGTGATACTAAGGTGACAGAAAATGAGGAGAAATTGAGGCTATCTTTGGTCAGGAAAATCACTGTGGTGATGTAGTTGAGAACCTGCAGGTCTGGGAAAGAGGGAAGCCAGGGTTTCCCACGAAGACATTCATGGCCATATCTATGAAAGGTTGGAAACCACCATCACCCCTCCCCAAAGCCATTCCTTCCTTCCGAGATGAGGAAATCCCACGCCCAGGGCTGTGATGGGTGTTAGATCAGATACCTCAGAGGACAAATCCGAGAGGACAGCACCCAGCCATGGCTCAGCGGGGGGCCACACTGGGCAGCCATTCTGTAGCCAGTGTCACCGTGGGAGGAATTCCTGAGACTCCTGCACGGTGGGCTGGCGAGAGGATCAGGTAGACATGAAACTTCAATGGGAAAACAAAGCACAGCACACGGACAAGAGATCTTCATTGGTGCACACCTTATTCCTTGATACATCGAGGTTCCAGAAAGGGGGCAGCGGGGCATCCTGTGGTCTGATGCCCTGCATGGGAATTCAAGGCCCAGGGGGCTAGGGCCCTAGGATACACGGTGTGTCCTAGCAGGGTGGGGCCCTGGGCTTGCTTGACTCCTCACACCCCACCTGCTGTCCGTTTCCCCCAGTGAGCTGTCTCCTGGTCAGTCTCAGCAGCAGGCCCCTGGTCTCCGCTCCCAAGTGCGACCTCTGCACTCAGAGGGAAGTTCTGG